TTCTCCTGTCTCAGCCTCCTGAGTAGCTGGGATTACAGGCACACGCCACCATGCCCAGCTAATTTTTTGTATTTTTCATAGAGACGGGGTTTCACCATGTTGACCAGGATGGTCTTGATCTCTTGACCTCGTGATCCACCTGCCTCGGCCTCCCAACATGCTGGGATTACAGGCTTGAGCCACCGCGCCTGGCCTACCTATATACTTTTCTTTACTAGCATTTTTTATTTCTTAATATAGATTCAAGTTACTGTCTTATATCTTTTTATTTCAGCCTAAAGGACTTGCTTTCGCATAGCCATGTATCACTTAACGATGGAGATACATTCTGATAACTGCTTTGCTAGGCAATTTTGTCATTGTGTGAAACAGAGTGTACTTACACAAACCTAGATGGTATGGCCTACTACACATCTAGGCTATGTGGCATAGCCTATTGCTCTGAGGCTATGAACCTGGATAGCATATTACCATACTGAATACAATTATAACAAAATACTAAGTGTTTATGTAACTAAACATAGAAAAGACACATTAAAAATACAGTGTAAAAGCTCCATTATAATCCTGTGGGACCACTGTTGAATATGTGGTATACTGCCGACTGTCATGTGGCACATGACTGTATTTCTTGTAGGACAGGTTTACTAGCGATGAATTCTCTTAGTTTTTGTCTATCTGGGATTATCTTAATTTATTTTTCACTTTTGAAGGATAGTTTTGCTATGTACAAAACTCTGGTTGACAATCTTTTTCTTTAAGGAACTTGATACGTTATTCTGGCTTCCATAGTTTCTGCTTAACTGTTAAACTGTTGATCGAGGATCCCTTTGTATGTGATGAGTTGCTTTCCTCATGCTGCTTCCCACTCTTTTCTAGTCTTTGGCCTTAAACAATTTGATTATGATGTATTTACATGTGGATCTCTTGATGTATCCTACTTGGAGTTTATTGAATTTTCTCCCATGTGCAGATTAATATTTTTCATCAAATTTGGAAAGTGTCTGTCATTATTTTTTCGAATATTCGTTCTGCCTTCTTCTCTCACTCTTCCCTCTCGGATGCTCATTTTACACACACACACACACACACACACACACACACACACACACACACCATATTTTTGATGTTATCTCAAATGTCTCTGAACCTTTGTTCATTTTTCTCCATTCTTTTTTCCTTTCTATCCATTAGACCGTATAATATCTATTTACATATCTTTAATTCACAGATGCTTTCTTCTGCCTGCTCAAATTTGCTGTTGAGCCACTCTAGTGAATTTTTTATTTCAGTTATTGTACTACTCAACTCAAGAATTTGTATTCTGTTCTTTTAAAATATATATAATTTCTATTTCCTTATTGATATTCATTACCTGATAAGATATTATTCTCATACCTTTTTCTAGTTCTTTGGATATGGTTTTCTTTAGTTCTTTGAATGCATATAGAATTGCTGATTTAAAGTTTCCATCTTAGAAGTTCAATATATGGACTTCCCTAGGGAGAGTTTTTATCAATTGTGTTTTTCCCCATTGTATGTACCTCACTTTCTTGTTTCTTTGTGTGCCTCACAATTTATTATTGAAAACTGCATTTTAAACAATGTAATACAATACAGCAACTTTGGAAATAAGATTCTCTTTCTTCCTAAGGGTTTGCTGTTGTTGATGTTGCTTGTTTGTTTGTTTTGTGAATTTTCTGAGCTAATTCTGCAAAGTCTGTGTTTTTTGTCATGTGTGGCCACTGAAATCTCTGCCTAGTGTTCAGCTAATAATTGAACAGAGTGCCTTGACGCTTGGAACCAGTAAATTGCTCTGTTTTTGCAGAGGGACTCTGTGTGTATGTTGGGACGTGACTTCAACAGTCAGACAGGAAATTTGACAACTCTATCTTAGCTTTCGTGCTTGTGCAGAGCCTTAAGGTTAGTCCAGGGTGAGAGCTTAGGACCTTCCTTAGGTTTTTCCTGCACGTATGCACAGCCTGGGCATGTGCACCTGCCTATGCATACATATGGCTTTCTATATTCCCAGCAATATTTCAGAGCCTTTCAAGACCCTCTATAGATAATTTATTCCCCAGATTTTCCTTTTAAGGTTTTTGGTTAGCCTATTTTTTTTTTCTTTTAGCCTCAACTGTTATTATTGTTTTAGGTGGCCACAAAGTCCAGCAATTGTCTGCAGTTGTTTTAAACAAATACCTTTAAGGAAAAAGTTGTTCACTTTAGGCGAGCTTTGAGACAGGTGAAATAAAGACAGTCTTGCAAATGGGATCTTCCAGGGAACCACTAGATAGGTCAAATATTACAAGTCTCTGGGAATGAAGCTTTGAAGGAACTCCAAACCTGTTCTATCCCTTCTTGTAGCTGCCAGGCTGCTGGTTTCCGTGGTGATTGTGGTTTGTTGGTTTTCAAGGCTACTGCATAGTTGGGGTGAGGGGGATGGAATTGGAGCAAGTTAAAATGCCACAAGGCTTACCAGTTTTACTAAGATTGCTTTTTTTTTTTTTCTTGAACAAAGTCTTCCCAGATTGCTGTAAACTTGCTGTAAACTTTTGAATAATTTCCAGAGTTCTGAAAAATTTGATTCTCACCATTTTTTTTTTTTTTTTGCCATTTTCCTCATTGCTCTTAGGGAGGAGGGAATTTTCAGAGGATTTTACTCCTACCATTTTTATTGACATTACCTGCAATATATTTTAAATACCCTTCTCTGTGATTGCTTTGTCACTTCTCAAAACTCAATTCAAACGTCTCCTCCATTGTGAAGGAGGAGAAACCCTTCACTTGTGAAGTCCTCTTCTTTGTGTTCTTGGGGCAGCTCTTCCTCTATTCTCCTATACCTCTGGGTTTACACCTTTGTTATTTCACTTTTCATAATAACAATTACTTACATCTGTTTCTGTCCCTTTTTCCAGTCTGTAAGCACCCAATCTGTGACTTGTTCATCCCCCATGCCCAGTCTAGTTTCTGACACAGAGTAGATACTCAAGTTTGTAGTCTGAAAAGTATGGTCCTAGGAGACCTCAGAGCCTAGCCAAGGGCTTCGAATTCCAGCCACCATTTTACTCCTTCTTCTTCTATAATTCACGGCTGATCCCTGTCTCTTCATTGTCTTGTATGTGCTCTGGTGTGATGACCATATCACACTTGAGTGTGTGATATGGTTTGGATCTGTGTCCCAATCCAAATCTCACGTCAAATCATAATCACCAATGTTAGAAGTGGCCCGTGATAGGAGGTGATTGGATCATGCGGGTGGATTCTTCATGATTGAGAATCCTTCATGATTCATCATGCACTTGGTGCTATTCTCGTGATAGAGTTTCCATGAGATCTGGTTGTTTAAAAGTGTGTGGCATCTCCTCACTCTCTCCCCTGCTCTTGCTTTTGCCATGTTAGAGGCCTTGCTCCCCCTTTGTCTTCCACCATGATTGAAAGCTTCCTGAGGCCTCCCCAGAAGCAGGAGCCACTGTGCTTCCTTTATGGCCTGTGGAACCATGAGTCAAATCTCTTTTCTCTAGAAATTACCCAGTCTCAGGTATTTATTTATAGCAGTGGAAGGACTGACTAATACAGTGTATGAGGAAAACAGGGAGCAAAATGTTAAATTCTGTGTGGGTGAAATTCAACAATGTCAATGCAGCTACTGTTTGCTGAATAGAGTCTATGTTAGACATCAGGCTATGGGCTTTATAGTCAATATCTCAATGAATTCTAACATCAACCCTATGAGGTAGGTGCTACTATCCTCATTTTACAGGTGAGGCTGAGTAAGGAAAGTGGGAGAACTGAGGTTGGATGAAGGGTATGACTCTAAAGCCTATATATATATATATACATATACATATATATATATATATATATATATATACACACACACACACACACACACATATACATATATGCATATATGTGTGTGTATATATATATATATATATTTTTTTTTTTTTTTTTTTTGAGACAAGAGTCTTGCTCTGTTGCCAGGCTGGAGTGTGATGGCGTGGTCATGGCTTACTGCAACCTCCACCTCCTGGGTTCAAACAATTACCCTGCCTTAGCCTCCCAAGTAGCTGGGACTACAGGCACACACCACCATACACTGCTAATTTTTTTGAATTTTAGTAGAGACGGGGTTTCTCCATGCTGGCCAGGATGGTCTTGATCTCCTGACCCCGTGATCCACCCGCCTCGGTCTCCCAAAGTGCTGGGATTACAGGTGTGAGCCACTGTGCCCAGCCTAAAGCCTATATTCTTAACTGCCCCATTTGAGGGGTTTTGGAGAAGCCAACTGGAGGAAGGGAAGCCGCACCTGCGTTTACCTTTCCGAGGACCTATTCTGTCTGCCTCCTTGTCTAAAGAGATGTGCCTGGCTCCCAGGTATGTTTAGCCCAGTGTGGGCTCAGCTGAGTCACCTTGTGCTTTGAAACAAGATGGCACTGAGGGCTCCTACTGCAACTGGCTCCCAGGGTAGAAAGGGGGAGAGGTCCCACTTCCCTGGCACTGGGGTGACAGATGTGGCCCTGAGGCAACAGGTGACAAAGATCTTCCATCATCACCCCAACAATTCCAACATGGTGATGGCCCCAGACTGCTAGGAAAGCCAACCCATGTGGAGGCGTGATATAATCCAGAGGGCTCAGAAATATTTCAACAAATGCTAATATCGGTCTGTCCAATACAGCCCTGTCAGCAGGAAGAGAGAATTCTGCCAGCATGCATGGGGCACACTTTTTGGCACAAGGGACCTAGTTGCTAAGCAACAGTCGTTGGCCTCCCTCCTCCCCATAACCTTTTCCTCTGTTTCCGAGTTCCAGTTAGCAGATGAGAGGGACTGGGGCTGCCCAGCCCGGCCCAACCCAGCCCTTGTCCCCCTTTCCTGCAACAAGGGGCCTATTCATGGGTCCTGAGCAGAGTTCATTGTCTCTGTGGCGCATGTCTGTGTGAGTGTTGGAGACGGGAAACAGGGAGGGGCCATGTGTGAACCAGGGAAACCTCATCTTCCAACCAAGCTTGCTGGGCTAGCTTTAATCAATGCTGGCCTGAAAACAGGAGCAGAACGCTGCCTGGTAGACCCTGAGGCTTTACCACAGTGCCACTGACCCCTATGGTAAGACTGCGCCTCTGTGCCATCCCTGCTGTGGCCTCTCTCTTTTTTCTCTCTCCCTGCTCTGCCCTTGGGATTCTAGGCTGGTGGAAAGAGCCTCCTGAGGCAGCTCTGGTACAGGGGCTGGATCCTAGCAAGGGCCCTGTGTGGCCAATTTCCTGTTTCCTCTCTAGGGACTGCCTTTTTTTCTCCTCTCTTGTCCCTCTTAGGAACATCAAGTGCTTTGCACATACATGGTACACAACAAATTATTATGATGTTGAACTTTCACTCAAAAAGCGGAGCAAGGAGTCCTGTAATTTTAAAGGCCATTTTTTTCTAGATTAGCACATGAGCTTGGGCTGTTGAATTTTGAGGTGGGCAGTTCATGAGGTGAGGCCAGTTTGTTCAGAGGCTGAGTTTAAAGCCAAGCTTCCTTGGCACTGAGGTGGGGCACCCTCTACTTTCTCTCTTTTTTTTTTTTTTTTTTTTTGAGACAGAGTTTCGCTCTTGTTGCCCAGGCTGGAGTGCAATGATGCGATCTCAGCTCATTGCAACCTCCGCCTCCTGGGTTCAAGTGATTCTCCTGCCTCAGCTTCCCAAGTAGCTGGGATTACAGTCATGCACCACCATGTCTAGCTTATTTTCTATTTTTAGTAGAGATAGGGTTTCTCAATGTCAGTCACGCTGGTCTCAAACTCCTGACCTCAGGTGATCTTCCCACCTTGGCCTCCCAAAGTGCTGGGATAACAGGCATGAGCCACTGTGCCCGGCTTCTCTACTTTCTTATGAGTGCTTGACTGGCTCTCCCAAGCCTGCTGTCCTCCAGCCTTACTGCGTGTGTCCTGTGAGTCTCACCTCTAGGCACAAGAAAGAATGCATGTAGTATGATACAAACCATTACCTCTGTTTCTCCTGGAAAAGCAAGGCCTGCAGCTCTTGGGAGGTCCAGTCCTACAGGTCCTGGGCTGTGGCTGGTGTAGGGGATGGGGAGATGGGGCTGCTACCTCACTCTATAGGCAAGGTGTTGGGCTGCCGCCCTGTCTGTGAGCTGAACTGGCATGGGTGGTCTGGGTCCAGTGGAATGATTTTCAGGGAAATTTGGAGGTGACTGACCTAGGTGAGTCTGACAAAGACTTTCCTTCCTCCTGCCAGAGGGTTAGGAAGACTAGTTCAGTAAAGTATGAAGGCATGACTGGGGAGATTTTGGTGTGAAAAGAGCATTTCATGTGACATGTGAAAATCACGTTTAAGCCAACATTGTTTTGAAGTCAGTGTTTCAGTGCTTTATCCTCATTGTGTACAACCCTACATGTTGATAGGGAAAGATGCTAGGGAAGTGGGAGTCTGAGGGGAAATGGGAGTTGCTTCAGTTTTAAGAGATCTTATCTAACCTACTGGATTATAAATTTTTTGGGGAAAAATATACAGTTTATGTGTAGTTCTTATGAATATGATTAGACTTAACATTTGCATTGGGCTTTACAATTTATAAAGCTATTTTAATTCACAGTATCTTATTTGTATCTCCCTCTCTCCCTCCCTCCCTTCTTTCCTTTCCTCCTTTACTGTACCTTAACTGAATTCTCACTTTGTTCCAGGCCCTGTGCTTAGCCCTGAGACACGTAAACCAGTCAGGAAGGAGAGAGAAGGAAGTACATGAGCACAATATAGGGCCCAACAAGTGCTGTATGCATTGAAGGAAGCTCTGGGGGAAGTGATGTCTGTGCTGAGTCTTCAGGGGTCAGTAGGAGTCAGCTACATGGGGAAGGGGGAGAGCAGATGCAAAGTCTCTGTGTTGTGAGAGTGCCTGAAGGCACTGAGAAATGACATGCATGTCAGTGTGACCCCAAGTTTTTCTGTGGAGGGAGCAAGTGCTGGCAGTGAGGATGGAGAGGTGAGGCAGGGTGAGATCACAGAGGACCTTTAAACCATGCCATGGAGCTCTGGTTTGATCCTGAAGGCCACACAGACTCATGCGGTATTTTAGAGATAGGGCTCACATATTCATATTTGCATTTTAGAAAGATTATTCTGACTTTATGGCATGGAGAATAACAGAGGGAGACTCAAGGAGGGAGATTATTCCTTGGGAAATAGGAGTTATTACTCTTTTTTTTTTTTTTTTTTTTTTGAGACGGAGTTTCGCTCTTGTTACCCAGGCTGGAGTGCAATGGCACCATCTCGGCTCACCGCAACCTCCGCCTCCTGGGTTCAGGCAATTCTCCTGCCTCAGCCTCCTGAGTAGCTGGGATTACAGGCACGTGCCACCATGCCCAGCTATTTTTTTGTATTTTTAGTAGAGACGGGGTTTCACCATGTTGACCAGGATGGTCTTGATCTCTCGACCTCGTGATCCACCCGCCTCGGCCTCCCAACGTGCTGGGATTACAGGCTTGAGCCACTGCGCCCGGCTAGGAGTTATTACTCTTATTTTACAAATGACAAAACTGAAATTTGAAGAGATGGCCTGAGTTGTAAGTTCACATAGTAGGTTGTAGACCTAGCTTTTTTTTTTTTTTTTAGATCTTATTTTCATTACTCTTCTTAATGGCTCATGAGCTTCAGGCACACTTATGACTTATTCTGCTCTATGCTTTCTCATCGCCATGCATTTGCTGATTCAGTCCTCTTTGCCTGAATTACCCAATGTTCATGCATGTACTTCTGTTTCTCCTGGAAAAGCAAGGCCTGCAGCTCTTGGGAGGTCCAGTCCTACAGGTCCTGGGCTGTGGCTGGTATAGGGGATGGGAGGTAGGGCTGCTACCTCACTCTTGTTGCAGCAGCCCAACACCTTGCCTATAGAGCATGTATCTTTATCCATGTGGGCTTGTCTCAGAGGCTGCTTTTTCTAGGAAGCCTTCTGTGGGTCACCTCAATGAGAAGTAAGCTCTTGTTCTTTTGAATGATGATGGTAGTATATTAATCTGTTCTCACACTGCTATGAAGAACTACCTGAGACTGGGTAATTTATAAAAGAGGTTTAATTGACTCATAGTTCCGCATGGCTGGGGAAGCCTCAGGAAACTTACAATCATGGTGGAAGGGGAAGCAGACACGTTCTTCACATGATGGCAGGAGAAGGAAGTGTAAAGTAAAAAGGGAAAAGACCCTTATAAAACCATCAGATCTTGTGAAAACTCACTCACTATCATGAGAACAGCATGAGGGAACTGCCCCATGATCCAATCACCTACCATGAGGTCCCTCCCCTGATACATGGTAATTGCAATTTGAATTACAATTCAAGATGAGATATTGGGTGAGCCAAACCATATCATTCTATCCCGGCCCCTCCCAAATCTCATGTTCTCATTTCAAAACACAATCTTACCTTTCCAACAGTCCAACAATCACACCAAAGTCTTAACTTGTTCATGTTAACTCAAAAGTCCAAGTCTACGGTCTCACTTGAGACAAGGTAAGTCTCTTCTACCTATGAGCCTGTAAAATCAAAAGCAACTTAGTTACTTCCCTGATACAATGGGATACAGGCATTGGGTAAATACACTCATTCCAAATGGGAGAAATTGGCCCAAAACAAGGGGACTACAGTTCCCATGCAAGACTGAAATCCAATAGGCCACACATTAAACCTTAAAGTTCCAAAATGATCTTCTTTGACTACATGTCATGACATGAAGCATGACATCCAGGTTATGCTGATGCAAGAGATAGGCTCCCATGGCCTTGGGCAGCTCTGCCCTTGTGGCTTTGTGGGGCAGAGCCCCCACTCCTGACTGCTTTCATGGGCTGATGTTGAGTGCCTGAAGCTTTTTCAGGCTCACGGTGCAAGCTGTTGGTGGATCTACCATTCTGGGATCTGTAGGACGGTGGCCTTCTTTTCATAGCTCCACTAGGCAGTGCCCCAGTGGGGACTCTGTGTGGGGGCTTCAACCCTACAATTCCCTTCTATAGTGCCCTTCCAGAGGCTCTCCATGGCTCCACCCCTGCAGCAAACTCCTGCCTGGACATCCAAGCGTTTCCAGACATCTTCTGAAATCTAGTGGAGGTTTTCAAACCTCAGTTCTTGGCTTCTGTGTACCCACAGGCTCAACACCATATGGAAGCTGCCAAGGCTTGGGCTTGCACCCTCTGAAACAATGACTTGAGCTGTACCTTGCCCCCTTTTAGGCACAGCTGAAGCTGATGCAGTGGGGACATAGAATACCATGTCCCCAGGCTGCACAGAATAGTGGGGTCCTGGGCCTGGCCCACAAGACCATTTTTCTCTCCTGGGCTTCTGGGCCTGTGTTGGAAGGGACTGTTGTGCAGGTCTCTGACATGCCCTGTAGATATTTTCCCCATTGTCTTGGTGTTTAACATTTAGCTCCCCATTAGTTATGCAGATTTCTGCAGTGGACTTGAATTTCTCATCAGAAAATGGGTTTTTGGGCCAGGCCTAAAATCATCTATCACACCATCAGGCCACAAATTTTTCAAACTTTTATGCTCTGTTTCCTCTTGAACACTTTGCTGCTTAGAAATTTCTTCTGCCAGATACCCTAAATCATCTCTCTAAAGTCCTAAGTTCCACAGATCTCAAGACAGTGTGGTGATTCCCCAAGGATCTAGAACCAGAAATACCATTTGACTCAGCAGTCCCATTACTGGATATATACTCACAGGATTATAAATCATTCTACTATAAAGACATATTTACATGTATGTTTATTGCAGCACTATTTACAATAGCAGAGACTTGGAACCAACTCAAACGCCCATCAACGATAGACTGGATAAAGAAAATGTGGCAAATATACACCATGGAATACTATGCAGCCATAAAAGAAGAATGAGATCATGTCCTCTGCAAGGACATGGATCAAACTGGAAGCCATCATTCTCAGCAAACTAACACAGAAACAGAAAACCAAACACCACATGTTCTCACTCATAAGTGGGAGCTGAACAATGAGAACACATGGACACAGAGAGGGGACCAACATACACTGGGGCCTGTTGAAAGGTGGTGGACAAGGGGAGGGAGAGCATTAGGACAAATGTTGAATGCATGTGGGGCCTAAAATCTAGATGATGAGTTGATGGGTGCAGCAAACCACCATGGCACATGTATACCTACGTAACAAACCTGCACATTCTTCAGGGGTATCCTGAAAGTTAAAGTAAAATTAAAAAAAAAAAAATGAAAGAGTATATGTCACATGGTTTCATTTATATAAAACTATAAAAAAGGGAACTCTGACATACAGTGACAGAAACAGATCAGTTATTTTCCAGGGCTGTGGGTTGGTGAGAAGTTAACTGTGAAAAGGCAGGAAGAAAATTTCTGGGGTGACCTTAATGTCCTATATTTTGATTGTGTTGGTCATGTGGGTATATACCTTTGTCAAAGTTATTGATCTGAGAACTTAAAATGTATGCAATATTTTGAATGTGCATTATGCTTCAATAAAGTTGAACAACCCCCCACCCCTGCAAAAAAAATAAAACACCACCAAAGTTCCACAGCTCTCTAGGGCAGGGGCAAAAGGCCTCCAGTCCTTTTGCTAAAGCATACCAAGAGTCACCTTTCCTCCAGTTTCCAAGGAGTTCCTTATTTCCATCTGAGACCACCTCAGCCTGGATTTCATTGTCTATATCACTATCAACATTTTGGTCAAAACTATTTAACAAGTCTCTAGGAAGTTCTAAAGTTTCCCACATCTTGCTGTCTTTTTCTGAGCCCTCCAAACTATTCCAGCCTCTACCTGTTACCCAGTTCCAGAGTCACTTCCACATATTTAGGTATCTTTACAGCAGCACCCCGCTCCCAGTACCAATTTACTGTATTAGTTTGTTCTCACACTGCTATAAAGAACTGCCGGTGACTGAGTGATTTATAAAGCCAAAAGATTTACTTGACTCACAGTTCTGCATGGCTGGCAGGCCTCAGAAAACTTACAATCATGGCAGAAGGGGAAGCAAACACATCCTTTTTCACATGGTGGCAGGAGAGAGAGGTGCAGAGGGAAGAGGGGAAGAGCCCCTTATAAAACCATCAGATCTCATGAGAACTTACTCACTATTAAGAGAAGAACATTTGGGAACTGCCCCATGATCTAATCACCTCCCACAAAGTCCCTACCCCAACACATGGGGATTGCAACTTGGATTACAATTCAAGATGAGATTTTGGGTGGGGACACAGCCAAACCATATCAGGTAGTTTAGCTGACCTTTTCTTCTGTCACTTAACAAATTGTGCTTTGTTTACATGACTTATCTTCAGTACCAGACTACAGGTTCTTTGAGGCAGTCAGAGTGGGGAATGGTCCATGGTTTATTCTGAACTCCCTATAGTGTCCCCTATAGTGACCTGTGCACTTGGACCAAATATCTATGGAATGAATGAATGGGTGGGTGGGTGAATCGTGGAGGGCCACTTCTTTCTCTGAGCTAGGAGGGAATGAAGACAGGGTGGGATCTTGAAGCTGAAGGAGGGTGTTGAGGGACATTAGCATATGCCTTCAATGTTTATGGGAGGAAAGATGAATGATGGCTAAGAGTGCAGGCTTTGAAGTGGTCTGAATCTGCATTCAAGTATTTGCTACTGGCCACATGAGAGTAAGGTCAGTGGGGTTAGGGGTCCCAGGAGGGCACAGGGGGGCCTGGCAAGGTATCTGTGGGAATATACAGGGAGTCCCTAAGATGAAAACAGATTTACAAATGGCAATGGAAGCACTGGGGTTAAAGAATGGGGACTCGGCAGGGCGCGGTGTCTCATGCCTGTAATCCCAGCACTTTGGGGGACCAAGGTGGGTGGATCACGAGGTCAGGAGTTCAAGACCAGCCTGACCAACATGGTGAAACCCCGTCTCTACTAAAAATACAAAAATTAGCCTGGCATGGTGGCACGTGCCTGTAATCCCAGCTACTCAGGAGGCTGATGCAGGAGAGTTGCTTGAACCTGAGAGGCTGAAGTTGCAGTGAGCTGAGATTGTGCCACTGCACTCCAGCCTCGGTGACAGAGTGAGACTCCATCTCAAAAAAAAAAATAAAAGAATAGGGACTTGGACTGGACTGTGACTTCTCTCTGCAGTCCTTAATGTGGGGATCCTGGGTGTCTGACACTTATTTCTCCAGAGCCTGATGCTGGATGACCATGCCACTGTGGAGGCCCAGTATGCAGAGGAGGGCCAAGGACCTGGGATCTTCAGAGCAGAGCCTGGAGGCCAGCAGCATCCTGGTAGGCCAGACTGAGCCACAGGGGAATGACAGGGTGGGGGCAGTGGAGGATAATCATCCTACATTCCCTGGATCCTCCTTGGGTCAGCCCCACATAATTGATGGTGAGAGGCTGTCTCTCTCTTTATCCCCAGACCTGCTTTTGCTCCCCATTTCCCACTTTAGGGATTGAGTGGAATTTGTGGGCTTCAGTGATCAGGCCATCTCCATCCTCCCCTGATTCCCCACTTCTTCCCCATTTGGGCTGATGGGGCAGGAGGGGGTATCCTGTTGGAGTTCATTGGGTGCCTGGCCTCATGGTGGTAATTTAGGGTGAAATAAGGCTGGCTGGCAAGAACAGGAGACCCAGATGCCCGTCTGCATTTTCCCACAGTTTCTCAAGCTGGGCGCTGGTGCTCCTTGCGACGTGGCTGTGCAGTGCCGGGAGCCCTGGGGCTGTTGGCTGGTGTGGGTGTCGGCTCGTGGCTCCTAGGTCAGTGCTGGGGGCCCTTCTCTGGTCTGGGGGAAGTTGGAAGGGAGAAGCAGATGCTGAGCAGGTGTTAAAGGTAAATGGGACAAGTGTTTTTATCTACTCTGTGCAGACAAGGGGAGAAAGGGTGAAATTGCAGCAAGAGGGATCTAGGCTCAACGTAAAGAATGAAGTGTATGATCCAAGGAGGCCTTAGTCCGACTTTTTCTGTAAATCTTTCCCAGTGAGTGAGATACAGAGAGGACACACAAACAGAGAAAGAGACATACAGAGAGACAGAGAGAATCACACACACACACACACACACACACACACACACGCACAGAGAGAGAGACAGAGAGAGAGAGAAGAAGGAGAGTCAAAGAGGTAGAGATAGAGGCCAAGGCCGAGAGAGATGAAGCACTGTGCCCTTCCTCAGCGGATTAGTTGGGGACCTGCCTGAGAGCGAGATGGTTGATGAGGAGGTCAGCACCCCGACTCTCTCCTTTGGAAATTCGACCCTTTCTCTTTGTTCTTCTCTGAAGTGCTGTATCTGTGGCCAGCTGCCTCTCAGCCCATTTCCGGGACCTTGCAAGATGAGGAGATAACTTTGAGCTGCTCAGAGGTGAGCAGTGAGGAAGCTCCGCTCCCTGCACTTCCCAAAACAGGTGGGCCACACCCCTAAGGCTACAGGTCTCCCTCCCCCGCCAGGGACCTGTCACAGCTAGGGGCAAGAGGACTAACACTGAAGGGCCTTCTGTTCAATGCCAAACATGGGTCTCCCGCCTCTAGTGTGAGGGCAGTGACAGGGTCTCACCTTTGCAGAGGTGATCTCTAATTTGGGGCTTTCAGGACTCCCTGAGGACTGTCCTGATCTCTAGCTGGGGCAAGGTCCAGAGACCAGGCTGGCAGGAGGGATGGAAACTTGCCATGTGGGGTAAAGTGAGCCAGGGATGTGGAGGAAGAGGGGTCAGGTGTGTATGGGAGCCAGTGTGTGACCGTCAGGGCCACCTAGGGGTCCGGGTATATCATCTCACTTCATCCCCCTAGCTCCCTCCCCTGATTGTCCCCTCCCCTCCAGGTAAGAGTTGGGGATCAGAAGGTTCAATGCTGTCCAGAGGCTCGGGGTTAGAATAAGCTCATTAGAATAAGGTTGGAGTCTGTTTTTGACTAACTGTGTGGCTTTGGGCACATTACTTCTTGTAGGGTCTGTTTCCTTCTCCATAAAATGGAAATACAAATATTTACTGCATAAGTTTGTAAGGATAAAATAAACTAATCTAGAAAAAGGTGTCAGCACAGAGCTTGTATAGTAGAGTGATTTGCCATGACTAAGTAGCACAGACTGTGGCTTAAACCACATTTATTTTCTCACAGTTCTGGAGGCTAGAAGTTCAAGATCAAGGTGCTGTCAAATCCAGTGTCTAGAGAGGGCTCTTTTCCTGGACTGTAGATGGCTGTCTTCTGCCTGTGTCCTCCCAGGGCCTTTCCTATGCTCTTGAGGAGAGAGAGCTGTCTGGTGTCTCTTCCTTTTCTTCATTTTTATTTATTTATTTATTTATTTTGAGATGGAGTCTTGCTCTGTCACCAGACCGGAGGGCAATGCTGTGATCTCGGCTCACTGCAATCTCTGTCTTCCAGGTTCAAGCAATTCTTCTGCCTCAGCCTCCCTGAGTAGCTGGGACTATAGGTGCACGCCACCACTCCTGGATAATTTTTGTCTTTTTAGTAGAGATGGGATTTCACCATGTTGGCCAGGGTGGTCTCCACCTCTTGACCTCGTGATCTGCCTGCCTTGGGCTCCCAAAGTGCTGGGATTACAGGTGTGAGCCACCGCACCCAGCCTTCTTCCTTTTCTTATAAGGACATTGGTTCTATTGGATCAGGGCCCCACCCTCATGACCTCATTTAACCTTAATCACTTCTTAAAGGCTCTGTCTCCAAGTATAGTCACATTGAGGGTTGGGGCTTTAACATATAAATGTGTTGACGGTGGGGAGGGGACACAGGTCAGTAGTCCCTAACAGCCTGGAAAAAGCATACACTCAACAGCTGGTAACTATTATTATCACAAGATTTGAAATCAAAGGACCTAGACTTAAGTCCTGGATCCATCGCTTCCTGAGTCTGTGATCTTGGGAAGTTGCTTAAACTCCATGCCTTAGTTTTCCTTCTGTAAAATGGAGAGGATGGCAGTACTCATTGCACAGGGCTGTTGGGACAATGAGTTACCACTTAAGAGCACACTTAAAAGCACTCAGTTAAAATAGAAAACTGAAATGCTCTACCAATAGGGGATACATTGTTCTTGGGACTGGTCTCACTTCCTGGGGAGCAGGGAGCTTGGCACTGGGTGACCCGGATGCTGTCATTAAGGCCTCTTCAAGTACCATAGAGTCCTGGGTCCAGCTCTTCCTCTCCCACCCTACCACCATTCTCCTCCATGTGATTTTCTTGCTGTGATTTCAGTATCTTTCAGAATAAGCAGCAAAGACTTCTTGCTGGAAGTGCAAGTGAGGGATTGGCCGCACTGGCTCCTGGTCTGCCATGAGGGCTGGAGCCCCGCTCTGGGGCTGCAGATCTGTTGGAGCCTTGGGCATCTCAGGTAACAGGAGCCAGATGTGGGGCCTGTGAAGGGGGAGGCCTGGCTGGCGCGGGATGGGAGTTGAAGACCTTGATATGCCCATCACTGGTCAGTGTGCTCAGGAAATGTCAAGAGGTCTTTTTGGCCATCCTCTGGCCTCTGGGCACAATGATGCCCCAGCCCATTTCTCTGTTTTGAGTATTACTGCTTTTTAACAAGCATAAATCCCAGAAGTAGTCATTATCACAGTCTTGTGGTCATTATACTAGTATTATATCTTGTGCACATTCCAGTTATGATTTCTTCCTTTCTATTCCCTTCTGCCAAGACTCACTCACCACAAGGGAGTGAACCTGTCTGATATCACACTCAACAGCTCCCAGGAGTTTGCTCAGCTCTCTCCTGCACTGGGAGGCTTCCTGGAGGAGGCGTGGCAGTCCAGGTAGGACTACTGAGGCAGTTACTTACTGGTGGTCAGTTCAGCAAAAATCTCCTTTCTTGGGATCCTGGTGGTGAGGACACTGGTGGTCTGAGATAGGAGGACAAAGAGGAACATTTTAAAATCAGAAATTACAAACTCAGTTGAGATGAGTCTTGTTTGTCACCGCTTCACATCTGCTATTTGCCCTTCAGAGGAAATGTAGGGTTGGTTATTATTGTCACAAGATTTGCAATGGTACAAATAAAACACCACCAAAGTTCCAAATGCATTGCCATTTTACAGGTTAGAAAACTGAGGCTTAATAAGGCTAAAGGGTCTTGTCCAAGGCCGCATAAGTAATAAGCAGCGAAGTCAAGCCATGAAGCCAGGCCCCTGTCTCCAAGCTAAGTGCTCTCTGAATCCTGCCACACACTATTTGGATAATTCGGATATTTCAGGAGAGAGATGGTTGAATTACTCTGGCCAAGAGTTTCTTGTAGCCTGGAGAGTCTCCCAGAGAAGAGGGCTGTGGAATGGAACAGCCCCTCCCCCAGATCCTAGGGATGGTCTGGTGTGACTGGGGCACAAGCAGAGAGGGTTTTTGCCCCTTCCTAGGTTTTCTCAAGCTGCCTATCAGCCTCCTGGGATGGATGGGTGGGCACCCCCATTACCACATTTCCAATTTAAACTGTTCCTTCAGGCTCCTCCTGTCCAGCTCCTGTCCTGGGAATGTGGCTGGAGATGGGAGGGTTCTGACTGGGTTCTTTTCTTGGGTACCTGAATGGGCAAATGGAAATAGGGGTGGGACTGACTTCTCCAGGAGAGCCAGGAGTTCAGTGAATTTGGGAAACTAGGAGAAACTAATGTCTAGACATTGCACTGCTAGGGGCAAGAAGTGAGTAAAGGAAGAAAAGGGTTTTGATAAAAAAAGGAACTGAGGCTTATGCTAAAAGAGATGAGAGGAAAGAGGAGAGCAAGAATATGAATATACAAGGCCCAGGCAGAGGGACTGGGGTGGAGAATCCAGCACACCTAGGAAGGAGCATGGGGTGAAGAACCCTAGTCATGTACACACTTACCTATTCGTTCATTAATTGAGTGTGTATTTATTCAGGACACTTCGTGGGAACAGTGAGGCTTTCTCATCTGTAAACACTTTGTGTCCCAGTTGGTCTGCAAAGACCATGAAGTCCTTCTGCTGCCCTTTGGGAGGTTAGGCAGGAGATGTGCTACTATCCTGGAGACCAGTGATGAGGAGGGGCCTGAGTGTTTGGATGGGGGCAGGAAGGAAATGGTGGTATTCTTCAGGCTGTGGCTACGTGACAGCCTTAAGAACTGTCCACTACCCTCCACCAACCTCCCCCATTCTTCACATCCTTGGATGTGTGTGGCCACAAGGTGGCCCCTGCCCAGCTTCTTGCTGGCACCTCTGTTTTATAGGAACAACTGCACTTCTGGTCGAGTTGTTTCCCTCAGATGCTCTGGTGAGTCATGTCTTGGTCCCTGGGAGGTGGTGGTGGGAGGAAGGGGTGTTCCCCTTGCCTCAAGTGTGGAAGAGCCCTATGGTGAGGCTCTGCTGGGTCTGGGGTGGGGGTCCTTGCCCACCTGCCCATCTCCTTGCCAGGCCCCTTCTTGCACTTGCTTTTCTGCTCCAGCAGAGCCCTTTCTAAGCCTCCATCATGTCCCTCACCAGCCACAGATCTGGGTGGCTGATCTCCTTGCTTCATTACCTGCCACTCTCTTCCTCGGCCTCTGACACAAAGTCCCCATTTATCATGTCCCTCACCAGCCACAGATCTGGGTGGCTGATCTCCTTGCTTCATTACCTGCCACTCTCTTCCTCGGCCTCTGACACAAAGTCCCCATTTCTTCTGGAGAGCCCCAGAGGTGATATTATTATTGGCTATTGACTAACCTGTTAGCAGCTTCAGAAACTAAGGGAAGATGGTGAATTAGGTACCAAATGGAAAGCAATCTGTGGAGTTACTTTCATTTGTCTTCCTGTTCATCTGTTCGTCTCTTCATATGTCCATTCACACATCCTTCCACACACCAACACTTTGACCTCTACTACAGGGTGGGCATTCTGTTAGGTACTGGGGCTCCATTAGTGCAGATATAGTTTCTGCTCTCAGCAGGCCCACAGCCGGATGGTGCAGGCAGGGGTGTAATCAACGCTTCTACCTTTCCATCCCCCAAACATAGGACCAGGGATCAAAAATGAGAGCTGTCCACCCTGGTTCTCCGAGGCTTGGCACTGGGCTGTGCTTCCTGAGAGTTAGGACCATGCTGACACCCACCTCTCTCTCTGTTTCTGTCTCACCCATCTCTGTTGGCAGAGTGTGGAGCAAGACCCCTGGCTTCCCGGATAGTTGGTGGGCAGGCTGTGGCTCCTGGGCGCTGGCCGTGGCAGGTCATCGTGGCTCTGGGCTTCCGACACACATGCGGGGGTTCTGTGCTAGGGCCACACTGGGTGGTGACTGCTGCACATTGTATGCACAGGCAAGTCTCTGCGGCTGCTGAGGAGAGAGAGCCTTAGTTGCCCTTTCTGTTTGGCTGTTGGTGTGTCCTACATCAAATGTTCATGTCCAACTGTCTCCAGCTTTTTGCTCCAAGGCTGGTGTTTGTGAAGTTCTGCCCATTCAGTATCAAGAACAGATCTGCACAAATAACAGTAATAATATGAATATTTGTTCTTTATATTCATCAGCCTTTTTTTTTGAGACAATCTCACTTTGGCTCAGTCTTGGTTCACTGCAACCTCTGCCTCCCGGGTTCAAGCAATTCTTGTGTTTTAGCTGGGGTGCTACCATGCTCAGCTAATTTTTTGTATTTTTAGTAGAGATGGGATTTCTCCATGTTGGCCAGGTTGGTCTTGAACTCCTGACCTTAGGTGATCCAGCTGCCTCAGCCTCCCAAAGTGCTGGGATTACAGGCATGAACCTGGCCTTACTAGCTTTTAATGTTAAAAATATTTTCACATTCACAGCATACTGTATTTTTTCAGGTTTATCTTTGGTTCAATCATTTTCCATTAATTATTGGTTAATATCTGTCTTCCTTTTTAGACTGGAAGCTCTGCAGGAGCAGGGACTCTCAGTCTTATTTACCATTGAATCTCTTGGTAGATTTCTCCACTGCTGTGTCTCCAGGGTCTAGAAGAGTCCCTGGAATATAGTAGGTGCTTAATAACTATGACTTGGAGGAACGAATTAATGATGAGTGAATGAGCTCTTTGATCTTCTCTTGATGGCGAACAGGGCAGAGAGTGTAATCCCCATTTTACCAAGGCTGGGAGGGAGAAGTACCTCTCCCATGATTACACATAGTAAGTCCAGAGACAGGACTGGGGGAAGTTTTTCTGACACAGGCCATCTGTGTGTTTGAAAACTTGGAGGGAAGTTATGCAGGAGAGAGGGAGTGATGGTTGCAGATGACCCATGGTCTTCTCTATCCATCAGGCCTGGAGCATTATTAATCACCTACTGCATGCCCAGTGTCTTGCCGGCTGCTGGGATGATACTAAGAGGCATGGTCCGTGGGGCCTGGGAGCTCACCGCCTGCTGACAGGCCCCCCACCAATGGCCTCTCTGGCCAGCTTCCTCTACCTGCCATTTCATTTGGGAACACCTCTTCTGCCCCTTCCTTCCTGGCTCAGCGTGGCCCCTGTGTGCAGTTTCAGGCTATCCCGGCTGTCCAGCTGGCGGGTTTATGCAGGGCTGGTCAGCCACAGTGCGGTCAGGCCCCACCAGGGGGCTGTGGTGGAGAGGATTATTTCACACCCACTCTACAGTGCCCAGAATCATGACTATGACATCGCCCTCTTGCGGCTCCGGACCCCTCTCAACTTCTCAGGTGCAGCATTGGCTTGAGGGTGGGCAGGTTGGAGACTAATGGCGGGAGAGGGTGGGGGCTGGGTGGGAGTGGTGAGCTGATTTCCAGAATTTCCTCTGAGCACTGTAAACCTTAAAACAATTCACTATGGTCCATTTGGGGACCTTAGTGAATTTTGGCATCACCTGGATCTGAAGTTATCAACTCTTGTGCAGGCTTTTTTGGGAACAAAGGTTCAGGCCCTTTTCATGGCTGGGCTGCAGGTGGGCTTTGCCTTGAGGTCCCAGGCAGCTGCCCCATCCACCAGAAGCCTGCTCTGCCCTATCCCCAGGTCAGCCTTGGGCCCCAACATGGCCATTTGGTGCCATGCTACAGTTTATTAAATACATTTTTTCAAATATATTCTCTTTCAGTCCTTGAAACAACCCTGATAGGTAGATGAAACAGGTAGATACAGATAAGGACACTGCAGCATAGGGAGGGAAGTGACTGTCTTCAAGGTCACGTTGGCAAACAGTTCCTAAGTCTGTTGCCAGGGCTCCTCCTGCTGCAGCACCTGCCCTAGAAGGTGACTCCAGGCTGCAGCCATACCAGCAGCCACTCTCCCTGACACACACATGCATGTGGGCATTCACCAACAAACACACACACACACACACATGCACTCACACAGGCACGTGCATATAGACTCGTGAGCATTCACACATGCCCACACATACGTGCTCATATGAACACACCTGTGCACACACACCACACACACTCACAAACATGCACACTGTGCACACATATAGACATTTACATATACTCAACACTCTTCCCTCCCATCATCACCTGTAGTCTTAGGTTTTCCAAATAACAGCCATACACATTTAACAAATATTTTATCACATATGTGAACTATCGTTCAACAGGTAATATTTCTAAGTTAGGCTGGGCGTGGTGGCTCATGTCTGTAATCCCAGCACTTTGGGAAGCCAAGGTGAGTGGATTGCTTGAGGTCAGGAGTTCAAGACAAGCCTGGCCAACATGGTGAAACCTCATTTCTACTAAAAATACAAAAATGAGCTGGGTGTAGTGGTGCATACCTGTAGTCCCAGCTACTCAGGAGGCTGAGGCAGGAGAATCACTTGAACCAGGGAGACAGAGGTTGCAATAAGCTCAGATCATACCACTGCACTCCAGCTTGGGCAACAAAGCAAGACTCCATCTCAAAAAAACCAACCAACCAACCAACCAGCCAAACAAACAAACAAGTCTTAGTTGACTGAAATAAGTATATTTAAAAGAGAAATACTACTACATTAGATACCTATGCAGAATCTACTACTTATTCTCCTGCCTCAGCCTCCTGAGTAGTTGAGACTACAGGCATGCACCACCAAACCCAGCTCATTTTCTAAGTATTCTAGTATTCTAAGTAGTAGATACTACATAGATATCTAATGTAATAGTATTTCTCTTTTAGATATACTTACTTTGTTATAGTAAATAGCATTAGTATAGTAAGTAAATAGCATATTTATTATTTAAATATATGAAATAGGTATAGTAAATAGATAATAACTAGCATCTCTAGTTAGAGAACGTATATTACTTACCTAACTAGAGAACCTATATTACTTACCGTAAATAGATACTAACCACAAAAATATGTAGCATGAAACAAATCAATGTGGAAGTTGTATGTAGCTGAGCCCGCTGCAGAAGTTGCTGCACCTGCTGTCTCTTGTTTGGATGGGAGGTTGGCAGGTAGCAAGAAAGGCACAGACCAGCACCAAACAGTCTTTCTCTGTGATACAGTTAGAGGAACTGAAAGAGAATTGAAAAGGACATGGCATTCTCCCCAAGTGAATGTTTATTCAGTGGCATGCCTATGTACTACCTAAAATCATATTTGGCTGCACCCATGGGACATGTCACATGTTTTTGGAAACACTGTCCTTATTAGAAGGTGGGTACCCATGGCCTGAAAGAATTTTCACCCCCACTTCATCCCCAGGTGTGGAGAGGGGAGGCAGCGTGGGCCCTGTCCACCTGTAGAGGGCGTTGTGCATACTGCAGTTTGCATTCTGTCCTCTGTGACGGGTGACCCCTAAGATGGGGACAGTGCAACACTTGCAGAGCCGTCTAGGAGGCCTGGCTGGTGGAACCCAGGAACCAGAACTGTTTGAGAAGGGAGGGGGAGGAGGACCTGTCAGTTCTGGGTCCTTCGTCCAGGCTCTGCAGTGGGGAAAACTGAGCCTGACTTGGGACCAGGACCATGTGCCTCTCTACAGACACCATGGGCGCTGTGTGCCTGCCAGCCAAGGAGCAGCATTTTCCGAAGGGCTCGCAGTGCTGGGTGTCTGGCTGGGGCCACACCGACTCCAGCCATAGTGAGTCAGCTCCCTGGGCCTTCGATGTGGGAGCGGGTGGGGGAGGCATTCTTCCCCAGGGTGAGGCATGGCCGTATGACAGTTCTGGCCCTGTTTTTCCCTGGCATCAGCCTTGGCCAGGCCTGGGGCCTCCAGTCTCCCTTGCCTGGGCCTTTCTGGGGAGTACATCTACTGAAAGTTTTCCCCAAACCAGACCCTTTTACTCCCCCTCCCCTTGTCCCAGGAGCGCCACGGTCTTAACATTTGGTGTATATGTGAGTCCTCCTCTTCCCATTCCTAGCCCCTAAGTCTGATACCCTCCTGCTTTCTCGCTCAGGGTCCACAGCTCCACCCTGGGCTCACTTCTTTGGGTCACCATGTCTCTGGGACTTTGAATTACCTCCTCTCTTGCTGTTCTGCCTGCCTGGCCTTGATTCATGCCCTGCAGTTTTCCTCCGTGTCTCCCACAGCTTACAGCTCGGACATGCTTCAGGACACGGTGGTGCCCCTGCTCAGCACTCAGCTCTGCAACAGCTCTTGCATGTACAGTGGAGCCCTTACGCCCCGCATGCTTTGTGCTGGCTACCTGGATGGAAGGGCCGATGCATGCCAGGTGCGGCCTGTGGTGGCTGGGGTGAGGGTGGAGATGGAGGTGGAGGTGGGGGTGGGGGTGGGGGTGGGAGGGCAGGGGCCTGCTGTGATTTGACTCCCTGCCTTGGTCTGAGCATGTTGGTGGTGTAAGACAGCCTTTCTGGGAGAAAGGGCATCCAGGCAAGTCTGGAGCTCACGCTAAGGGTTTAAGGAGGGGTGAGGCCAGCAGTTGTCTCAGCTAGAAGCAGGAAGGGCCCAGTAAGGAGATTCCACTTGCCATAGTGGTCTGGTTCTCTCCATCAGGAAGAACTAACTGGCTGTTTCTCTGTGTCTCCATGCCTGGATCTCTTAGGGGGATAGCGGGGGCCCCTTGGTGTGCCCAGATGGGGACACATGGCGCCTGGTGGGGGTGGTCAGCTGGGGTCGTGGCTGTGCAGAGCCCAATCACCCAGGTGTCTACGCCAAGGTAGCTGAGTTTCTGGACTGGATCCATGACACTGCTCAGGTGAGTGTGGGGCCAGGAGCAGGGCAGGGAGGTTTTGAAAGGACCTGCCCCTCAAATGCTAGGAAGCTTACACTTTAGGCCTGGGCCTTGCTGGGGGCAGGGGAGGGGACTAGGATATGTTCCCAGACTGAGTGGAGGAAGAAGTGATGCTTAAACATTGAATCCACTGGATTTCTATTAATTTAAGGATGAACTGGGTAAGAGTAGACTTGAGTTTGTATCCCAGATCTACCATTTCCTGTGTTGTCCTTTGGCAAGTTTCTAACTTTGGTAAACCTTAGTTTCCTGATAATAACCATCATGGCTACTTATATGCAATTGTAATGATTAAAAGACCAGTACAAAGCCTAGCATGGTGCTGGGCTTAGAGTGAGTGATCTGTAGTGTTTTTTGTTTGTTTTTTTGAGATAGAGTTTTTCTCTTGTTGCCCAGGCAGGAGTACAATGGTGCAACCTCAGCTCACGGCAACCAGCACCTCGTGGTTCAGGCAATTCTCCTGCCTCAGCCTCCCGAGTAGCTGGGATTATAGTCATGCACTACCATGCCTGGCTAATTTTTTGTATTTAGTAGAAATGGGATTTCACCATGTTGGTCAGGCTGGTTTGGAACTCCTGACCTCAGGTGATCCACCCGCCTTGGCCTCCCAAAGTGCAGGGATTACAGGCATGAGCCACGGCACTCGGCTGTCATGTCATTTATGTGTATATCTGTTACCGCCCTCCCTCCCTGCTCTCTAAGGCGGTTACCAGTGGCCACATTCCCTGCACTGCAGAGAGAGCTCAGCACTTAGCAGTTTGGGTTCTGCATCTATGTAAATTGTGTGACTCTGGGCAAGCCACTCTCCTTCATCTGTTCAATCGGAAGGCCAAGTAAGATAATGTGTATACATACACACTATTTACATAAAGTATTTTACAAATGTAGGGCATGATCATGAAAAGCATCTTCCTCTAAGGTTGGGCAGGGGTGGGGGTTGGTAGACAATACATTTCAGACTTCACAGGGAATGTATATACCCATCTTCTCATGGGAATCTTACAAAAAATCTCAAGCAGCAGATATTTTTAGCTCCATTTGATAGAAGTGAAAATCAAGGCCCTGCATGGTTAAGTGGTTTACTAAAATAAAAGTCACTTGGCTAGTGTAGAGCCATACTGTGAATCTGGTTCCTTTCTCTTTTGTTCTAGGACTCCCTCCTCTGAGTCCTGCTGTTTCCTCCAGTCCCACTGCATACTGTCACCTCATGCTTCCTGGGGTCTCCAGCAGCTCCACTACCAGAGACGCAGCAGCCTCCGACCCCAAAGGCATGGACCTCCCACTACTGCGTGCGAGGAATAGTCACCACCCATCGGCCAGCCACCCAGCCACCGGGCCTCTCCTGTTGGGCCCTGATTTCAGAGTCCTCTTTCTCATTAGAGACTCAATGACAGGAGAGAGGCTGGGCCTGGGTTGGGAATGCTGTGGAGGGGGAGGAGGAAAGAGGCAGGAGCTGGAGAAGAAGAGGCTGCTGGAAGCAGCAGGAAGCCTGCCCTTCTGCCCTCTCTTCTCCCAGCCCCGTGTGAGTCATTTGGGAGCATGCTGGGAGGTGTTCCCAGTGCTGTTTTTCCCTGTGCTCTCAGGTTGGCTAAGTGCCTCCCTAGAGGATTCTGTGGCTGAGAGGCTCCTGGGCAGATGGGGTCAAGGCTGGGCCAGCCCAGATGAAGCCAATGGGAGGCAGGATCTTCTCCACTCTCCCTTTCCATTCCCCTTCCTGTTCTCACATGGCTCTGGCTGGCCCTGGGGTGGGGGCACTGGAAAACAAGAAGGTTGGAGTTGGTCTAGGATGTTGGTTTTAAATGACAGTTCTGTGAACTGGTCCAAGGAGTTCTGTTATTAAAGTGATACATGGTCTCGGTCCAGTTTTCTCTTCTCCCTCTCTCACTCACATGAAGACACACACACTACAGGGTAGAATTACAATTTTCCTTCTATCTTCTATACATGTTTGTTGGAGCTTTGATGCTGACTCCTGCTCATCTACTCCAGAATTCCGTTTTGTGCTTATTTGTTTTGCTGAGGCTGGAGTGCAGTGGCACCATCTCCGCTCACTGCATCCTTGACATTGTGGGCTCAGGGCTCCCAGCTCAGCCTCCCTGGTGGCTGGGACTACAGGTGCACGTCACCACACCTGGCTAATTCTGTTTTTGTATTTTTTATAGAGATGGGTTTTGTTTAATTCTTTACATTTGTTAAATCTACATGTCATGATTTGCAGTGAAAAGCCTTAGCCATCCAGGTGCTCTGAGGTTTTGAGTCTGAGAACCATTTAAGTCAATGCTCTCTTGGGAAGGTTTGGTTTCCCAGCAAGGCCCATCTCTCCTTTTTTTTTTTTGACTCCAGTCTTGCTCTGTCACCCAGGCTAGAGTGAAGCGGGGTGCAATCTCAGCTCACTGCAACCTCCACCTCCCAGGTTCAAGCAATTCTCCTGCCTCAGCCTCCCAAGTAGCTGGGATTACAGGTGTGAGCCACCATACCTGGCTAATATTTTTCTTTCTTTTTTTTTTTTTTTTTTTTTGAGACGGAGTTTCGCTCTTGTGACCCAGGCTGGAGTGCAATGGCACGATCTCGGCTCACCGCAACCTCCGCCTCCTGGGTTCAGGCAATTCTCCTGCCTCAGCCTCCTGAGTAGCTGGGATTACAGGCACGTACCACCATGCCCAGCTAATTTTTTGTATTTTTAATAGAGACGGGGTTTCACCATGTTGACCAGGATGGTCTCGATCTCTTGACCTCGTGATCCACCCACCTCAGCCTCCCAAAGTGCTGGGATTACAGGCTTGAGCCACCGCGCCCGGCCTCTAATTTTTTTCTATTTTTAGTAGAGATGGAGCTCCGCCATGTTGACCATGCTGGACTCAAACTCGTGACTTCAGGGGATCTGCCTACCTCGGCCTTCCAAAGTGCTAGGATTACAGGTGTGAGCCACAGCACCTGGCCCCATCTCTCCTTAGCCCTTGTTTTGGAACTGGGCCTTTTGACTTGGCCTCTCTTTCTGAGTTTATGCCTAGTTAGCTTTTCCTTGGTTAAACCTCTCCTCTGCTCTCTCCTCTCTAGCAATTAAAATGTAATCGGCATCTTGTTTCTAAAAACTGCAATGAATTTTTTATGGTGCTTACCCAAGGAAATGCAATTAGTGTTTAGCAATAACAGAACTTTGTGAGTTTATCAGCGTATTTTTTGAGGAGTTGTACACATGATTATTCATTTCTAGAGGGTCTGCTCCCTTTACATGAAGTGCACTAAAAAATGAAGGTTTCAATTTACTGCCAATTTATTACCTAGGGAAGTCCTTGCTGAGAAGTCTGCTGTCAACGTGTGGAAGCAACGTGGGAAAAGTTCTGCTGAATGGCAAAGTAGCCTTGCCCTGTGTCCCTGGAGGTCAGACCTCCAGCCTCCGCCCTGAGATCAACATTGACTGCCAAGCTCCCTTAAGTCCTCGCCTCAGGAGGCACTGATGAGGGAGTGGATCCCCCTGGGCAGGGATAAGTTAACAGCAAATCCAACAGCTGGGATCTTTTTTGTGTTTCTAATGTCAATCATAATCATTTGCTTAAAGGGAGGTTTAAAAAAATTACAGCCATCAAAGCCTTTTAATAATCAGTAACATTTAAATAGTGTTTTACAGTTTAGGAAACACGTTCACATGTGGGATCTCACAACATCTGTGTGGTACAGATATTAGTATTATTGTCCTCATTTTACAGATAAGAAAATAAGAAAAACTCAGAGAGATTAAGTGGCTCCCCGAAGACCATCCAGCTGGTAAGCACCGGAGCCAGGATGTCAGCTGTGGGACTTTTTACTCTAAATCCACATCACTGTCATGCATATGAATGAATGACATGATCCAGTATTGCACAGAAGAATAGAACTGGAAGGTAATTGCTTAGGTCACCTGGTCTAAGTCACCTGCTTACAGTAATGCATTGGCACACCTACTTTTTCTTTTCCTTGAGACAGAGTCTCACTCTGTCACCCAGGCTAGAGTGCAGTGGCATGATCTTGGCTCACTGCAACCTCTGCCGCCCAGGTTCAAGTGATTCTTATGCGTCAGCCTTCCAAGTAGCTAGGACTACAGGCATGTGCCACCAAGCCCGACTAACTTTTTTTTTTTGTAGAGTTGGGGGTTCGCCACATTGGTCAGGGTTGTCTGAACTCCTGTCCTTAAATGATCCACCTGCCTTGGTTTCCCAAAGTACTGGGATTACAGGCATGAGCCACTGCACCTTGCTTCCCACACTTACTTTTTTATAGATGAAGGAACCAAAACCCAGGAATTTGAGAGGCTCCTGGCAAAGACCCTTCTCAGGCAATATGCTTAGAAATTTCCAGTTCTCCCTGAGATTCATGGTCTGACTAAACCTTACGAATAAATATCTCCCATAGGGGAGCTACAAAGGGTAACCTAATAGATAATTTACTAATAATGATTTCTTGCTTACCTATACAGAAACTTCTGTTATCTATGACCAGGCTACCAGTCAGATCTGCAGATGCAGAAGCTCTCACTTTCCTTGTTAGCATTTGCCAGTTCAGCTCTTTGGAAAGGGAAGAGAAGTAATGGCCTGGCCAGCTCTGTTCCCCCGAGCCTGCTCTTGGAATGAAGGGGTGGAGGTGCGGCCAGGAAGGTTGGGAAGGTTCGAGTCCAGAAGGGTTTTAATGAGGACCAGCTGGGTTCCCAGCTCTCTTAAGCTCTGTAGGGAATTTGGAGGTAGAAAAGCCAGCTGTCTTACTGGAGCAATGAGGCTTATTTGCAAAAAAACTATTAGTAGCCAGCCAGGCAAAGAGCTGAGTGGGGAGGTAGTCATTGCTCAGAGTTCTAAGAGCCTGTTGTTATAGAAGTCAGGGCAGTTCTGTATGTGGGAAACCTCTGCCTTCCTCTGTTAGGATTCAGCATCCCACCTGCTTGGGCAGAGCTTTCAAGCCTCCTGAGATGTCCCAGGAGGGTCGCTCCTGGCTGCCGTGACAGGTGCAGATCCCTTCCCTCTTCTTCTTCTCCGTGCTTGTGAGATCCCGAGGATGCTAGAGGTTTAGCATCCCTCTGACATCAGATACAGGTTCTCCCCTCCTGACACTTTTGGTGGGGTTCTGCTTTTCCTAAAAGGATTTCTGGGAACAAGGGGCAGCCCTGCCATTCCTCAGGAACATTTCTCAGATTCTTTCTTAAATTTTCTTTTTGGAGGTGTTTGGCTCACCCACAAAAGGACAGAACTGGAAATGCTGGTTTGGTAGCTGTCAGGAGATGTTTTTCCCAAGTCCCTCTGATGCTTCTTCTCTCCTCTCTCCTCTGCCCTCTCCTGGCCATGCTCTTAGGACCCTCTTGCTGCTCCATGGCTATTCAAAGGAGAACCTACCTTCACCTGCCCTCACTTCCCAGTCCAGCATCCTGGGTCTGAGCCCTGTCTCTACCTCCCTGGTAGACATGCCACAGTGACTCTCAGGGTTTGCCCCACCATCAGGACTCTGTTTCCTACTAAACTGACTGAAAAGTTAGTGACTCTTTCAACCATGTGTTAAACCCGTCTACCTCTAGGAAGGTTTGTAAGGAAGTAGGTAGGCAGCAGCTTCCTACTTCTGATGGCTGAGGCTGGTTTTTCTCACACATTCAAGGCTGGGAAAGAAAGGCCAAGCAGGCCTGCACCTACTGCCTGGGGTCTCCCCAGGGTGGGGCATTCCAGGAGGATCTGTAGAGGATTTCACCCGGAGGTGGGTGCTAGAGGGAACCAAGCTGGGGAATCAAACAGAATGGAGAGAGAAGTCATTGCTGCAGAGGCACGGAGCCCTTGCTACTTAGCCTTTCCCAGAACAGCACGTGGGCTCCAGGAAGGCAGAGACTTGCACAGGGCTGGGCTCATCTTGGAGCTTTTTCCCTTCCAAGGAACCTCTGGCTGTGGCATCTAATAGTAGGAAACAATGGTTCTAGCTGCAGAGTCCCATCACATCTCACGTGGGAATGTGCCGAGCAGGTGACTCAGCCTCTCTGGATTTTGGTCTCTCATTTGTAAACTTAGAAGTCTGGGTATGGTGGTCTCCATGGGATCTGCCTTGTCAGACCAGCTTTAGCTCAAACTTATTTTGCCTTTCGAGATGTCTGCCTACCACTTCCAGTTTGGATAACCTTCTGGAGGGGCCTGCTCCCTGGGACAGATCTACGGAAGTCAGCTTGTTATGGCTTCACAACACGGCAAGTCTGCTGTCCCTGGGAGCCCTCTGGGTTTGTGGGAGCCATAGAAATGGGGCAAAAGACTTTAAAGGCAGCTTTCGCCATGTTGCTGTATTCAGCATTTGAACCCTGCGAAAGGATTCAAGGAAAGGTTGAGCTCCTCAACCTGGTAGTTTTTTAGTTGTTCCCCAGCTCACTTCCTGATAGCCCAGGCTCTGTCTGAAGCCTCATGAGCCCCAGCTCCCCAAAGGTAGCCAAAGGAATTTCCTCTCAACCCCAAAGGCTATGACCATGTTCCTTCTTTCTGTTTTCCTTGACAGCTCCTAAGCTGGCCATGAGGACCTACTCCTTCCTCCAGCCTTTCTCTTTGCGTAGAACAGTGAGGGGCTCATGGCAATATATTCAAGCTTATGTATATGGCATCTGAGGTTGGGCATGGAAAAATACTGAGGCACTGTGTATGTTTGTGCATGAGAATGAAACTCCTTGACCCTGAAAACAGGACAGGGAGTGGAGTGTGTGGTGTGATAAGGAATGCTGAAAACAGCCTCCTGAGAATGCAGTTTGAGTGTGTACAAGGTCACGGGTGCCTTAGCAACCCACCTCAAATGACCGTCTAGTGGATGTTTGTTGTTAATACAGGCACTTTCAATAAATATTTGGTGGATAGAGGCTGGGGTGGACTCTTT